CAAATCAGCAAGAAAAAGCAAATAACCCCACTAAAAAGTAGGCAAACGACATGAACAGACATCTCTCAAAAGAAGATATACAAATGGACAACAAGCATATGAAAAAACATTCAACATTGCTTATCATCAGGAAAATGCAAATTAAAACCACAAATCTCACAATGAGATTTCACCTTACCCAATCAGAATGGCCATTATTATAATATCAAAAAACAATAGATGCTGGCATGGAAGCTGAGAAAAGGGAACATTTATACACTGTTGGGAGTGCAAATTATACAATCTCTATAGGAAGCAGTATGGAGATTTCTCAAAGAACTAAAAGAAGATCTGCCATTTGATCCAGCAATCTCATTATTAGAGATCTACCCTAAGGAGCAGAGGTCATTATATAAAAAAGAATGAAATCATGTCCTTTGCAACAACATGGATGGAGCTGAAGATCATCATCCTAAGTAAACTGATACAGAAACAGAAAACCAAGCACTGCATGTTCTCCTTGATTTGTGGGAGCTAAATGACCACAAAGATGAAAATAATAGACACTGGGAGCACCAATAAGGGGGGAATGAGGAGGGGCTTAGAGTTCAGAAACTCCCTACAGGGCACAGTGTTCACTATCTGGGGGGTGGGTCACCTGAGACCCAATCCCTACCACAACACAATACATCCATGTAATGAATACTCATGTGTACCCCTGAATCTAAAATAAAAATAGATAAAAATAAAATTTTTAAAAAGACTTTTAAAAGATTTAAATTTTTTTCACTGGTAGAATTCTCCAGTGAAACTGTCTGGATCTAGTGATTTTCCTTTTAGGGCAATTTCTAAAATTGCAAATCTGACTTTCTTAGAAATTATAGAACTATCCAAATTATTTTATATTGAGTGAGTTGTGGAAGTTTGTGTATTTTAAGGAATTAATTTATTTTATTTCAGTTGTCAACTATATATATGTCAAGTTGTTAATAGTGTCTTCTTATTGCCCATTTTATTTCTGCAGGGTTTGAAAGGTATTCACTGTTTCATTTCTGAAATTGGTAAATTGTGTCTTCTCTTTTTTATTGTTGGTCTTGCAAAAGTTAACTTTATTGTTCTTTTAAAGGAAGTAGATTTTTGTTTCACTGATTTTTCTCTTATTTTCCTGTTTTTAATTTAGCTGATTTCTGCTTTTATCTTTCTTGTTTCCTTCCTTCTGCTTGCTTTGGATTTATTTTCCTCCTTTTTTCTAGGTTTTTAAAGTAAAAGCTTAGATTCTTGTTCTGAGACTTTCCTGTTTTCTAATAAGTGCATTTATTGCTGTAAATTTTTCTTTCAACCCTGCTTTACTAGTATCTCACAAATTTTTAATATGTTATATTTTTATTCATTGCAGCATATTTTCTTAAATCTCACTTAAGACTTACTCATTGGCCCATGAATTAGTTAGAAGTGTGTAGTTTCACATTTAGTGATTTTCCTCTTATCTTTCTGTTAACATTCTTTATAAAGGTTTCATTGTAGTTGGCAAACATATTCTGTATGTTTCACTTCTTTTAAATGTGTTGAGGTTTACTTTATCATTTAGAATGTGATACATCTTAGGCATTTCAAAAGAATGGTATTATTCTGGGCCAGGTGTGGTGGCTCATGCCTATAATCCTAGCACTTTGGGAGACTGAGGTGCTTGAGCCCAGGAGTTTAAGATGAGCCTAGGTGACATAGCAAAACCTCATCTCTACAAAAAAACTTAACTGGGCACGGTGGTGTGTTCCTCTATTTCCAGCTACTCAGAAGACTGAGGCAGAAGAATTGGCTGAGCCCAGAAGGTTGAGGCTTCAGTGAGCTGTGATCATGCCACTGCCCACCAGAATGAGATAGAGTGAGACCCTGACTAAAAAAAAAAAAAAAAAAAAAAATCAATGGTATTCTGATATTGCTGGGTGAAGTGCTCCATAAGTGTGGTTCAGAATATGTTGGTTAATGGTTTTATTGAATTCTTCTATATATTATTCTGTCTAGTTGTTGTATCAATTGTTGAGATAAAGATTTTTGAAGTCTCCAACTATAATTCTTGATTTTTTTAAATTGAAAAGTTCAGTCAGTAGTTGCTTCACACATTTAGCAAGTTCTTTGTCTGGTGCATACACTTTTAGGATTACTGTATCATCTTACTGAATTCACCATTTTATCATTATATAATATATAATGTCTCTCTGTCTCTGACAATTTTCTTTACTCTGATGTTTACTTTATCTGACATTAATATAGCTACTCCTGTGTTTACTGATTTATATTTGCATGGTATAGCTTAACCTATACATTTACTTTCAGCCTATCTGTATCACTATATTTCAAGTGAGTGTCTTGTAAACAGGATATAGTTGGGACATGTTTTTAAATCTTCTATGAACTTTGTCTTTTAATTTCTGTATTTAGGGCATTCATAGTTCATGTCTTTTTTGTTTTGTTTTCTGTTTGTTCTCTCTATTTTTTATTTATCTGTCTTATTGTTTTGCCTTCCTGTGAGTTACTTGAAAATGTTTTACAATTTCATTTTTTTCTACAGTGTCTTTGAGTGTATTGGTTTGTGTAGCTTTTTTAGTAGTTGCTTAGATGTTGCACTATATATACAGGCCTTGTAACTGGTGTTATTTCACCAGTTTGAGTGAAGTATAGAAACCTTAATTCCCTTAATATCACCTTACTTTATTTCTTATAATTTCTTAAATATTTCCATAACATACTTTTAGAACCATATCAACATCAAACGTAACTTAGAAAGCTGAAGATATACAGACTAATGTATTTACCAATATTTTTACTTACTGTGTACTTTTTTTCCTTACTAATGTTCCAGAGTTCCTTCTATTGTCATTTCCTTTTTGTTTAAAGAACATCCTTTAACCATTATATTAGAGTAGGTCTGCTGGCAACAAATTCTCTTAATTTTTATTCATCCTTGAATATATTTATTTATTTAAATATTCTTTAAGAATTTTTTTGCTAAGTATAACATCCTGGATTGACAGTTCTTTTTTCTTTCACCATCTGAATAATATTTGCTACTTTCTTCCAACCTCCATGTCTTCTAATGAGAAATCCATTTCTGTTCAACTTGTCTTTCCTATGTGGGGAAAGATTCTTTTCTGCTTTCAGTTTCCAGAAGTTTGACTATGATGTGTCCTTGTTAGATTTCTTTTAGTTTATCCTATTTATAGTTTATTCAGATTCCTAATTTTTTGCAAAAGGTGAGGCATTTTCAGGCATTAATTTTTCAAGTATTTTTTCAGCCCCGCTATCTTAACTCTTCTTTAAGGATTTCGATTTCAGAGATACTAAATCCTTTTTTATAGTCCCACAGTCCGACTCTGTTCATTTTCTATTAATCTATTTTTCTCTCTGTTGTTCTGGTTGCATAATTTGTATTGTTCTATCTTCAGATTTACTAATTGACTGCCTTGCCCCCTTACTCTGCTGCTGAGACCATTCCCTGAATTTTTTATGATGGTTGTTATACTTTGCCTTTCATAATATATACATTATGCACTTTGCATATATATATGTATATTCCAGGATTTTCAGTTGCACTTAGGTAAAATGTCATTTTTTCCCTGTCTTTGTTCCTAATATAGCTAGTCAGTCATTGTCATTATTCCTTTTTTTAAAAAGTAAGCAGCCTGCTTGTATTTATCATTTTTGTCTTTTAAATTGTGATTCAAAACACATAACATAAAATCTACCATATTAACCATTTGTAAGTGTCCCATTTGTCAATACTAAGTATATTCATAATGTGGTATAACAGATCTCCAGTACTGTTTTATGTTGCAAAACTAAGTCTATTCCCAGGAAGCAACAACTCCCCGTTCCCTCTCCCACTTTAGCCCTAGTAGCCATCATTTTACTTTCTGTTTCTACTTTGGTTACCTCATGTAAATTAGCTGTTAACAATTATTATGTGAAAAATTACTTGGATATAAAAGTAGCCTCCAAGTTCACTACTCAGAAAGTTACCCTGGATGTCAAGGTTCAAATTAAGATCTTGAAGTATATGCTTTATTAAATCCACTCAAATGCACAATAAAAAAGAGAGAAACAGGCACCACACCTTAGAGAGGTTACAAGAGAGTAGAAGGGTCTCATTACCTGAGTTATGCAAGTTAATAAATCCTCTGCCTTCTTCTCTACGGTGTCAGCATTCGTCACTGAGTGTATAATTTTGAGAACCAAAATTGAGGTCTATCCCAAAGGGCTCCAAGAGAGAAGAGGCCCCGGATCAATGACATACAATTGCTGTAATCAGAGAGATATAGAGGGGTAAGTCTGCCTGGCCACAGCTATAGGTTATTAATTAACCTGATTGGCTACTATGGATTTAATTTATGTTTCTTGAGTAAAGGACACAAATGATCAGAATGAGTGTCACCATTCTGGTGACTCTATTAAGACCGCAAAAATATAAAGTGCTTCCCGTGTGTCTTATGAATACTTACCGTCTATTTAGCCCTTATATCCCTTCCTAACTATGCTCACAGTCTTATGCTTGATTTACTTTATCTACATCTATCATATATATGTCTCACAAACTACTTGCTTCTATACTTAGTTTCAAATATTCTCCTTTTCTTCTCTTATTTTCTAAAACAGAGTTGAATATTCTTAAATAACACAACCAATACATATTATAGCAAAAAAAAAATCATTAATAAGGATGAACCATCAACATATATACTGGCCGGAGGCATCTCCAAAATATACTCACGGAATAAAGCAAGATGACGATAGTTATGTATAGTATGCTACCATTTATGTGAAAAGAGAACTTATGTATTTGTCTTTGGTGGTGTTTATTCAGAGAGATACACAAGAAACTGGTAATAGTCATTTTCTCTGAGGAGATCATTAGTTGTCATATCCTTTGAACTTTTGTAACACACAAGTATATTACCTATTGAAATGGATTGTTTTAAATGGATGCTTTTAAAGATACTAAATAGTTTTTCTTTTTCTATATACAGGTATCAATGGCAAAGCAGCTGGACTTCGCAGAAAATACAGATGACTGGACAAAAGAGAATGTAAATCAGTGGCTAGAAAGTCATAAGTTTAATTAAAAACACAGGGAAATTTTGACTGCGCAAGATATGGATGGAGAAACCCTGAAGTGATTAAAGAAAAACTATCTTGTGGATACGGGAATAACACACGGACCAGCTATCCGAACAGAAGAACTATCCAAAGAATTGCAGAAAACTTCCTTTAAAGATTCTGTTCAGAAACCTAGAAGGAAACAAGGCGGTACAATGAATTCTCCTGAAGAACCAACTTTGATGCAGAAGGAAAGTAGTGAACTTTCAAAGCAAAAACAAAAGGATAAAGGGAACCCAGGTATGGCTACTGCCTCTGCAATGAGTACAGTTGCCAAAGGTCCTGATTCACTAAACAAGGAGCTCACAGATGATGAAATAAAAGACACAAAGGAAAAGCCCCCATTCATGGAAATAACATGCGCACCATACCCTTTTGATGAATCCAATAATCAATATTGTTACAAACTGGGTTTTAGTCTTCCTCCTGAAACAGGACCAGGCAATCTCATTGATCCAGTACGTGAATTCAAAAGCTTCACAAATACAGAAACAGCCACAGAGGAGGATATTAAGATGAAATTTAGCAATGAGATTTTTCGATTCGCTTCAGCTTGTATGAATTCACGTACCAATGGCACCATTCATTTGGGAGTCATAGACAAACCCCATGGAAAAATTGTTGGCGTGACACTCACCAGAGTTACCAAGGAAGCCCTCATTGACCACTTCAATCAGATGACACACCAGTATTTTGAAGTTCATCAGGTCCAACAAGCAAAGAAGTGCATCCGAGCGCCAAGATTTGTGAAGGTTTTACTACCGGACAGTACCCTATCTGACAGGTTTGTTATTGAAGTGGATGTCATTCCACAATACGCTGAATGTGAAGATCATTACTTCCAGATTAAAATGCAGATTTACAAGAACAGAATATGGAAACAAAGTCCAGAATTCTCAGTCTTTGTGAGAGATGGGAGCAGCTCTAAGAACATCATAAAAAATAAAGTTGATTTCAAAGCATTCAGATTAGATTTAAAAACACTGGCAGAGACCAGGAGAGAAGAAGAAGGAAAACACAGAGCAAAAACAAATAAAAAAGAGAAAGAGAGAGAGGGACCAAAGCTTGTTAAACTGTTAACAGGAAATCAGGATCTTCTGGATAATTCATACTATGAGTGGTACATTCTTGTAACAAATAAGTGTCATCCAGATCAAACCAAGCACTTGGATTTCCTAAAGGAAATTAAATGGTTTGCTGTGTTGGAGTTCGATCCTGAATCTGGGAGCAACGGAGTAGTCAAAACTTACAAAGAAAGCCGAATAGTAAATCTTCACTTTCCAGATCTCTATGTAGAAGAGAAAACCACAAATGAGAAGATCTCTACTCTGAATCTTTACCAGCAACCCAGCTGGATTTTCTGCAATGGCAGGTTAGACCTTGACGCTGAAAAATATAAACCCTTAGACTCAAGTTCCTGGCAAAGAGAAAGAGCTTCTGATGTCAGGAAACTGATTTCATTTCTCACACGCGAAGACATAATGCCAAGAGGGAAGTTTTTGGTGGTATTTCTGTTACTTTCCTCCGTGGATGACCCAAGAGACCCCCTCATTACGACTTTTTGTACTTTCTATCAAGATCTCAAAGGAATGGAAAACATACTGTGCATTTGTGTCCACCCACTTATATTTCAGAAATGGAAAGATCTACTTGAAGCAATATTAATAAGACAGGAAGATAAATTTTCAAGCCAATGTATTTCTGCATTGAGCCTTGAAGAGATAAATGGCACTATCCTTAAAGTAAAATCTGTGACTCGGACTTTAAAGAGACTTTTGCCATCCATTGGTTCATCTGTTGTCCTTCTGAAAAAAGAGGAAGATATCATGACAGCTCTAGAAATTCTCTGCGAAAATGAATGTGAAGGCACACACATAGAGAAGGACAAAGATAAATTCCGTGAATTCAAAGCATCAAAAGAGGAAGACTTCTATCGAGGTGGCAAAGTATCATGGTGGAATTTCTACTTTTCTTCTGAAAACTATTCTTCCCCTTTTGTCAAAAGGGATAAATATGAGAGACTTAAAACAATGATTGAAAACTGTGCAGATTTTTCTAAACCCATGTGTACCAAAATTATTCATCTGTATCATCATCCAGGTTGTGGGGGAACTACTTTGGCTATGCATATTCTCTGGGAACTAAGGGACAAATTCAGATGTGCTGTTCTGAAAAACAAAACAGTGGATTTTTTGGAAATTGGGGAACAGGTAGCCCACTTAATCACCATGGGGGAAACAGACCGTCAGGAATACTTACCTGTGTTGCTCCTTGTTGATGATTTTGAAGAGCAGGACAACGTTTATCTTCTGCAGGCCTCTATTCAAAGAGCTATACCCAAAAAGCACATTCAATATGAGAAACCTCTAGTGATTATCCTAAATTGCATGAGATCACAAAATCCTAAAAAAAGTGCAATGAACTCAGACAGTATTGCCATAATACACCAATTATCTGGCAAAGAACAGAGAGCTTTTGAGCATAAATTGAAAGAAATCAAAGAACAACACAAAAACTTTGAAGATTTTTATTCCTTCATGATCTTGAAAACCAATTTTAATAAAGAGTACATAGAAAATGTGGTCAGGAACATACTGAAAGGACAGAGTATTTCCACCAACCAAGCAAAGCTCTTTTCGTTTCTGGCTCTTCTTAATTCATATGTGCCTGACACCATCATTTCACTAGAACACTGTGAAAATTACTTAGGAATTGGAAACAAGAAGACTTTCTGGGGACCAGAAAAATTTGAAGACAAGATGGGCACCTACTCTACACTTCTGATAAAAACAAAGGTAATAGAATATGGGACATACTGTGGAGTGCGTATCATTCACCCTTTGATTGCAAATCTCTCGCTGGAAGAATTGAAGAAAAGTTATCAGCTGGATAAAAGTCAAATTATGCTGAATATGCTCAGAGAAAATGTGTTCTATGATCTTGGTATGGGGAGAAGCAAATTTCTCCAAGACATGCAAACACTCCTTGTCACAAGACAACGCAATGAAAGTGAAAAAGGAAATTGGTTTTCCCCATTTATTGAAGCATTACATAAAGATGAAGGAAATGAAGCAGTTAAAGCAGTATTGCTTGAAGGTATCGATCGGTTCAAGCCAAATGCATTCATTTGCCAAGCCTTGTCAAGACATTTCTATATTAAAGAGAAAGACTTTAGCAATGCTCTAAGTTGGGCAGAACAAGCAAAAAAGATAGAACCTGACAATTCTTATATTTCAGATACACTGGGTCAAGTCTACAAAAATAAAATAAGATGGTGGTTAGAGGCTAATGGAACAAGCAGGAACATTTCAGTTGATGATCTGACTGAACTTTTGGATTTAGCAGAGCATGCCTCAAATGCATTCAAAGAATCTCAATGGCAAAGTGAAGACAGACAATATGAAGTGAAGGAAAGTTTGTGTCAGAAGTCAAAAAGGAGGTATGATACTTATAATACAGCTGGTTATCTAGGGGAGATAGAAGTTGGACTTTACACAATTCAGATTCTCCAGCTCACTCCATTTTTTGACAATAAAAATGAACTATCTAAAAGAGATATGGTTAATTTTATAACAGGAAAGTGTGATATTCCAGGAGATTCAAATAATGCATATAAATTAGCTCTTAAGAAGTTTATTCCTTATCTAACTAATTTGCAATTCTCTTTGAAAAAATCCTTTGATTTCTTTGATGACTATTTTGTCCTTTTAAAACCCAGGAACAATATCAAGCAAAAAGAAGAGAGCAAAATTCGGAATAAGGTAGTTGCACATTTTAAGAAGTATGTAAGCATATTTTGTTCCTTTGAGGAATCACAAAATAGAGCTCTTGAATCAAAGCTCAGTGAGCAACTTCAAGTAGAGCAATACTGGAAAAGCCTAGTAGCTTTAAAAGCAGACAAGTTTTCTGGGCTCTTGGAGTATCTCACCAAAAATCAAAAAGATGCTGTAAGCACCATGGAAGTTATAGTGAACAAATACACTTTTCTCTTAGAACATGATGCTGTCAGAATCCACTCACAGGTAAAACAAAATTTCATCTTGGCCAACATCATTCTCTCCTGTATCAAACCTACTTCCAACTTAGTCAAGTCAGTTGAAAAACTGAAAGATCAGCTTCGAGAAGTCTTACAAGAAAGAGGAATGAATTGTCAATTTCCAGAACCTTATTTCCTAGCTTCTCTCTTATTCTGGCCAGAAAACCAGCAACTAGATCAACATTCTAAAAAAATGGAAGCATATGCCCAATCACTGGAAAATTCTTTCAAGGGTCGATACAAACATATGCATCACACAAAGCAACCAATTGCATATTTCTTTCTTGGAAAAGGTAAAAATATGAACAAACTTGTTCACAAAGGAAAAATTGATCAATGTTTTAAAACGACAGTTGATATTAACTCTTTGTGGCAGAGTGGAGATGTGTGGAAGGAGGTAAAAGTCCAAGAACTTTTGCTTCGTTTACAAGGACGGGCTGAATATAATTGTTTATATATTGAATATGGAATCAATGAAAAAATCACAATACCTATCAAACCCACTTTCTTGGGTCAACTTAGAAGTGGCAGAAGCATAGAAAAAGTGTCTTTTTACCTGGGATTTTCCATTGGAGGCCCACTTGCTTATGACATTACAATTGTTTAAGAGCCCAATCTTCTTCCTCCAAGAATGTGGTTTCATTATTGCCTAATTTTTGTTTTAGATTCAAGGCCTATACTTTAAACTAGCAGATTTTATTGTCCCTAGGTTTTCAGACCTGTACATACAATATTTAATTTCCTCCTGAGCATGTTAGGAGTCCTATGAAGACTATGTTGAAGAAGGAAGAAAAGAGTGAGAGATATAGAAAGTAGCAAATCTCTTCTTTGGCTTGGATAACACCATTGGTGTCAAAGTGATAAAGATCTATGACTGGAATTAGGAGAGGTGAATACAGCAAGTCAGTCACACAGGACCCCACTACTTCCCTCAATTACTCTACCAAGGCATGGATTGAGAAATACTGTCTGCTTCTCAAATGTGAATTTTTTTTAGAATAGGAAAAAAATAGTTATGGTTCCAAGACGTTAGAATGTCTGGAAAAACATTTCCCAAAAGAAGCTAAAACCTCAAATTGAAGGGCAACATGTATTCTTATGAAGAAGATCATAAATGTATCATGTGCTTGGTACTCAGGGATCTTCTAAAGTAGAGGTCCAACCAGTTCTCTGAAGGTCATCTTATCAAAGTGGACTGGAGAATTAGACACCTTTTCATGCAGTAGAAGGCAGTTGGGTGAAAGTGAAATTTGTCTCTACAGCTAATGAGCTTATAAACCTCCTCCAAACAAACCAAAAAATACACTCAAACTCCAAAGGCTAATGAACAAAAGGGACTCATGAAAAGACAAATGAGTTCTCCATTCAGAAGATGCCAATGTACTGGCAGATAAATTTCCCCTAATTATGACTATGGGCAATCATCAATGGCTGCTAAAACCACTAAATGGAAAGCTGACTTTTTAAAAAAATCTAACAAACGAATCAAACTGTCTTAATTTCTCATCAATATCACCATCACAGAGAAAGACAACAAGACATCATGGGGCTGGAAGCACTACAGGAGTGCACACATCCTCCAAGAATGTCCAAGCTATTGTTGCCAAATAACTAAACCTGAACTTGATCAGGCCTTTGGATCTTACTTCCAATTTCAAGAAATACAAAAAAGAAAAGAAATGAAAGAAAGAAAGAAAGAAAGAAGGGGGGGAAGGGAGGGGAGGAGGTGGGGGGAGGGAGGGAGGGAGGTAGCACAGGACCAAAAAGAGATTGGAACCTATAGATTATAAGAGACTTAACAACTAAATGCAACATGTAGACTTTGGATCCTGATTTGAACAAACCCATTCTAAAATGGAATATCAGGTCATCAGAAAAATTTGAACACAGACTGGATATCTGAGAATATTAAAATATTATTATTGATGGATTAGGTGACATAATGATACTATGATTATGTTTCTTAAGAGTTTTTGTCTTTTAGAGATACATGCTAAAGTATTTGTAAATAATGATATAATCTGAAATTTGTTTCAAAGTGATGTTGCATGTGGAGTATGCGGTGGTGAAAGGAGGTAGAACCAAACACCTTGGGCCTAAGTTGACAATGGCTGCTTGGCACATGGAGTTCACTATACTGGTTCTTGTGCCTTTGGACTGTACTTTTGAGATTTTTCTGTCTTAAGACATTTGGAAAACAAAAATAGACAAAAAATCCAATTTGCTTTTGTCTTCAAAATCTTACTACAGTTTTTTCACTGAAGGAAGTTTTCCCCTTGCTTCTGCATGAAATTTCAGCTCATCATATCTTACCAGCTTACTCTTTATTGTTTTTTAATTGACAAGTAAAAATGTGTATATTTACGGTATACAACTCAAGGTTTTAGCATGTATATTGTGAAATGATTAAACTGAGCTAATTAGTATATCACCTCTCAAACTTATTTTGTGTGTGTGTGGTGAGATCATTAAAATTTATTCTCTTAGCAATGTTCAAGTCTACAATACAATATGCTTAACTATAGTTAACTGTGTTGTATAAGAGAGCTCCAGAATTTATTCCTCCTGTTCAAAGGAAACTTTGTGTCCTTTGATCAACATCTCCCCAATTTCCACAACTCCCCACCCACATGCCTGAACTTGGAATCCATCATTCTACTCTGCTTCTATTTGAGTTCAACCTGTTTAGACTCCACATGTAAGATCGTGCAGTATTTGTCTTTCTGTACCTGGCTTATTTCATTCGATCTTTATTTAGAAAACTAAATGAATCCTCTGCTCAAGCACAGTCCCACCCATTTAAAATCAGAATGTCCAGACACATTGTCCTCAGAGCCACTTCCCACTGTGCCCCAGCCTCAATCCACTCTGCACAGAATTGTCTCTTTTGGAGTTTTGCCTTCTAGGGTGATTCTTCTGAACTCAAATTAAGCCAGTTTAGGCAAATGTTCTCTCTCCCACGACCCATCCTGGGTGTTTATTCTACTATCCATCGGTAGGGAGGAAAGCCAACTTCCTGTCTTGGGAACAGCATGCCTTGTAAAGTCAGAGGGACAAGGTCAAGCTCTCCAAGTGAACTGTTTGAAGGGTCCCCTCCTTAGGCTTAAGATGAGGTTCTCATGGGGGCTTGGGAGAACTTTCTCCAAAAGAATCTCTGACTAAGCCCTCATTTCCTCAGTGCCAGCAGTGGGCAAACTACAGTCTGTAGGACAAATCAATCCTACTGCTTGTCCTTATAAATAAAGTTTTATTGAAACATAGTCACATTCATGTGTTGAAGTGTTGTCTGCAGCTACTTTTGCACTAGAACAACAGAGCTGAGTAGTTGTAGCAGAGACCAAATGACCCATAAGGCTTAAAGTATTTGCTGTCCGGCTTTTTACAGAAAATGTTTGTTGCTCCCTGCTGTATGCAGTTATCCCTTTTAAATCCTTATTGTAGGTCAATTGTCTAATAGATTCTCAGACATCTACTTTAAAAATATGCACTTTGGTTTATCACCTAATTTTGGTATTGAATTTTATCATTTAGGGCCAGTTACATTTTAACATTTTTAACAGACAAAATCTATATTCACGTTATAATAATCCAGAAACGCTTTTCCAAGGAATAGCAGAGTAATAAATGTGTGTGAGTTTTCCTTTTTTGCAACAGACAAACAAAACCTAAATCCTAAATTATGCTAGATAAATTTAACATGCACACTTGGGTAATGATTCTCTTTACCTATATAGTTTTATATTTCCTTTAGGACAATAAAATTTGGTCTTGAAACATTGTAATTGGAAAGTATTTTAGTCTGTCCCTGCTGTTACAACAAAGTACTTTAGACAGGATAATTTGTTAAGAACAAAAATTTATTTCTCACATTTTTGGAGGCTGGAACTTCAAGATCAAGACACCAGCAGATTCAGTGTCTGGTGAGGACTTTCTTGCTGTGTCCTCACATGGCAGAAGGGCACATGGGGAAAAGGGATGAACATCTGCCTCACATCTCTTTTATAAGGTCATTAATTCTATTTATGAGTGCTCTGCCATGGGCCTAAGATCACTCATATTTGGCCATAAAAATGTCACTTAAAATATTTTTATAGAGTTTGGCATCTTTTCATCAGCATGGCCTTGAAACTTACATTTACCTTGTCTGAATTCCCTCCAAAGAGACCAACCCTCAGGCAAGTGGCTGAAACTCACCAGAACATTGCATCTAGACAATGATGCAATCACTTCTTAACGGCCTTGCCTCTTCATGCTAACACATTGACAATTAAGTTTCAACATTGTTACCAGAATACCGGGTTTGGTGGAGTCTTGTTGGTCTCCATACAGAAAGCCAATCACAGAGATGAGTATTGCCAGGGAAGAAGGCTTTTCGTTAGGTTATATCAGCCAAGGAGGACAGATCAGTCTCAAACCTGTCTCTCCCACTGATTGAAATTGGAGGTTTTTATAAGGAAGAAGGAATGCAAAACAGAAATTAGGGAAGCATAAGGAAGCAACCATGTTAAATGAAAGGTCTTGAATCTCATTGTCTAGATGCAATGTTCTGGTGAGTTTCAGCCACTTGCCTGAGGGTTGGTCTCTTTGGAGGGAACTCAGACAAAGTAAATGTAAGTTTCAAGGCCATGCTGATGAAAAGATGCCAAACTCTGTAAAAATATTTTAAGATGACTTTTTTATGGCCAAATATGAGTGATCTTAGGCCCATGGCAATGTCCTCAGGAGCTCCTGAGAACATGCCACCTGGTTGAATGGTAGCTTGTTTATATACAGTTTAGGAGGACAGAAGTTATAAAGAAACCGTAAATCAACATGTGAGATTTACACTACTGAGGTTCAGGAAGGCAAGACATTCCCAAGCAGGAGACCACAGGTCATAGGTAGATTCAAAGATTTTCTTACAACTAGCCGACATAGTTTTCTAAGCAAATCTAAAAGCAGTAAAGGAAACGGGCATTCTGAGGACGATAAGAGAACCAGCTTTCTTGATGCATAGATGAAGTTTTCCAGGTAGTGGTGACAGACTTCAAACAGAGCAGGGAATTGTTTTTAAAGATGCCAGAGTCCCCAAAAGACTAGCTTATAGAGTTATATGATACTTAAATTTTCTTTCTTTATTTGCCAAAGTCAGATTGGAGAGTAACTCACTTTAAAAGTTAGGAATTTGGCAAGGAAAAGAAAAGTCAGAGTTTAGTCATCAACTGGGAGCGTCAATTTCTTTCTTTCTTTTTTTTAAAGTAATTATCAGTCCTATGGGGAAATTGGGCTGGTTTTAGTATGAATTTGAGGGTGACACATTTAGACAATAGCATTCCACTCTTTAAAAATTCATGTTCTTCTCATTTGCAAAATACATTCATTCTATCCCAATGGTTCCAGCAGTGTTAACTTGTTCCAGCACCAACTCAAAAGTCTAAAGTATAATCTAAATTAGTTATGGGTGAGATTTAAGGTTCTATTCTTCCAGAAGCAAATTCCCTTCTAGCTCTGAGCCTTTAAAAATCAAACAAGTTCCTAATTCAAAAGGGAAAGTAGGAAGGAAGAAAGAGATGATAAGTCCCAAGCAAGTTCAAATCCAAAGCAAACAATGTTAAACATTGAGGCTTCTTTGACTCCGCGTCCTGGCTTCAAACACTTTAAAGTGGAGGTTGGATCCCAGGGCCCCAGGGAACACTGCCTCTATGTCTTTTCTGGGCACGGCCCACGTAGCAGCTCTTAGGGTTAGAG